TGGTGCTGGGGGATTGAACCGCAGTCCCTGATGCTTTGATAAGCTTGTTCCAAGTAGGTGCTTTAGACCACTGAGCCATCTCTCCAGCCCCTAGACTTTATTTCTTATTCTTAATGATCCCTTTAAAATCCAAAAGAACCTGATGACTTGAATTCTGGAAAGTACTACAAAGTGAAGATACAAAATTCAAGTTTTCTATGAATCTTGATATCCAGAGTAAAAAGATAATTATTAATCTTCGTATTCAATAAACAAGAAACAGTACAACTAATGCACCTGTCACAAGTGCACCAGAATTCCCACTTCAGACCACTAACACACTGGTTATAAGAGTCAGGGCAGGGACATTGAAGCTATGATTTTCCCAACTAAGAACAGAAACAAAAAGGTTTCAGAGTACTAAAGGATACACCATATGACTTTCTTAATTAAAGTGTGCCCATAAAACTGGATTTGGGCTAGGGAGATAGCTCAGTGGAATAAGCGCTTGCCTGACAAGTGCAAGGGCCTGAGTTCAATCCCCAGTTCCACCAAACAAACCAACTAAAAACTGGATTTGTTCTTGCTTCTGTAAACATCGGTATTTTTGCAGAGCAGAATAACAAATGTAATTAAAGTGATATTTTTGCAAATATTCTGAAAGCCTATGTAAGCTTTATCAATTATCACTATATAAATAAATTATTTACCTTCGATGAAGCATCTGGAAACAGCAAGTTCCAAAAGCAACCAATATCAGTAAGAGTAGTGGTATTGTTGGTATAATAACATAGATTAGATTAGGAATTATGCCTACAAAAATAAAACCATTTTAGTGCACAAATATAGTTCACAAGAACACCAAAGCGACATAGGAATTTTTCCCCAAATTAAGGTTAAGATAAAATTATTGCCAATGAATAGATTCCAATCAAGACTCACTCTAAAGCAATGGAAATCCAATGGAATAGTATATCCACATTTTGATATGAAATAAAAACAAAATTGTGCTGTACTAGTTTTCATGTTCCATTTCAATATCTAGACTTTTAAAACTAGTTAACTCTGCAATTCAGACAGAGGCTAGTTTTCTTAATATATTAATAATCTTAGCTATTTTAATTCATTAATTCTTCCAAACAGTTACTTAGATAAATAAACATTAGTTTTTGAGGTTTTTAAAATTGTTGACTTACTAGATAAATAATTAGCCTAAGCCAATATGTTCAGTGTTATGATGTTTTTCAAATCTCTGGTATTAAATGAAAAAATGTAAATATTTACTGATGGTACAGTCATAACTCAGAGACACATGGCTCCAGAGGCATAAAGACATGATTTTAATTAACTAAAAAGAATTGCTTTTAATCCTATTTTGTTACACTTGAGAATGTTAGATATTCTTCTAAAGTTAAGAAAAAATAACCTAAACTATACAATTTGTGTACAGCATGAAATGACTTTATTAAACATGTCTTCATTGTCATAAGATGGAAAATATTGATATTGATATTGAAATAAGTATTATTACTTATATTTGCAAGTAAGTCAAAATACTCGGAATGATTTTAAAATCAGGAGCCTGAGAAGTGAAACCCACTTAAAACAGATTATGTCTATTTGAGGAATGTCAAATGGCAAACTATACATTTATCTTGCAAACACAAATCTTCATTAGAATCAATCTAAGTTACTTCAGTCAAAATGGAACAGACATGAATCAGGCTATTATCTTAATGGTACGTCACTTCCTTTGTTAGGGAAGACAATGAAGTCTAGTAATGGGCTAATTTGGTGGTAATGTTCAATGCTTTCACCATCTTTTTTAGCTTCCAGCAGCTGCATTCAAATATTTGAAGAGTGCATGAAATAGTTCCTTTTTAAATTAGCATTGTGTTTGAGTTGGGATAAGGATTAAGATAAAAAAAAAAAAAAAAAAAAAAAAAAAAACAACCATTAACTATCCCTGCTCCATAGTGAGAAAGGAAAAGTGTTTTCCTTTTTATGGATTTTGCATCACTTGCAGAGGTTCTGAAACTTTGGATGTTTGGTTTAATCTATACACACACACACACACACACACACACACACACACACACAGCCAAGAAAAAACAAAAAACTTTCTGTCCAAATGGCATTGGGTCAGGCTAACAAGGCTTTACCAGACACTGAGAGTAGTCCCTAACCTGAAATTGAGCAAGTAGAAGTATTTAAATCATGGAAGTAGACAAAGGCTTTTGTTTTTCGCCTTGCCTCCACTCTAGCCAGTCCCTAGGCACTTACAGCACATAACTGTTTGCAGGCCACTGAACACATCAATTAACATAATAACACCTACATGTTGAGGATTCTTTTTGTAGGCCTAGATTTCAGTGTAGATCATTTAGTTTGCTACCAGATACATCTGTTGGAAGTGAAAAATCTGATAAAGCAAAACCAATTCTTCTATTCAAAAGAAGAAAAAATCATTTTAACCTAGCCCAAAAATAAATTTCCATTGGCCTTTTGTGGAGAGTGGGGTGGTTAAGACAGGCTCTAGTCATACAGTTCAGGTTGGCCTTGAACTCAGTGTAGCCCAGGTTGGTCTTGAACTTTCAGCAACCTTCAGCCTCAGTCCTACAAGCATGCATCACCAGGCCCATCAGCACTGCCTGTACTTAATGCACCACTTCCTCACGAAACAAAACAATAGTTCGCTAGGACCCATGTGAAGCCATGTTGGAAAACATGGTTCTGTAGTTTATAAAGACTCATGAACGAATTACCTGCTTCAGTAACAGCCACCTTTTCATGGTTGTCTCCTGGCTGATTTGTTAGATATGGCTTCTCCACAGGGTCTGTTGGACTAATCTCTGTAATAATTTGTGCAATAGTCATAAATAAAGATTATACAATATGAACTGAAAACAGATAAAAAAAAAGTTTACCATCAACAGCAAAAACATCTTTATTTTAATTTCTGAACAACTTACAATTAAAACATATTAGGAATTTAAATATACATAAAACTAACTATAAAGTCAATTTAATTACGTTTGAATACAAGTCAAATGATAAATCCCCTATCAGCACAGAACTGCAGCAGGTCCTATGGGAATGACAGCCTGCTTCAGACAATGATGACAAAGCACTCAAGAAGAATGCAGAGATTAGCAGAAATTCATGACCATAAGAGAGATATTAAGTGCAATTCAAAGACAAGGAAAGATCATTTATCTGCCAGCATCCATGTAATATTTGTGTTTCCCCTTTGCCTGATAACTGGCAGATGACCACGCATGGGTGGCATTTGGAACTGATGATGCAGCATTCAAGTAACAACATTCTAGAGTACATTTCTATCCTACTTCATGTTCACCACTTTGAGATCTGCTTCCCAATAATGTGTACTTCTTTAAGTAATAATCAGAAATTTAGTATTTTAAGTTTTTTTTTCCTTCTGGCTTTATGTGATTAAATAACTTTAATTGCCAAACACTTGTTTTATTTATTTATTTATTTATTTATTTATTTATTTGATACAGGGTCTTGCTATGCAGCTTGGGTTTGTAGTGATCCTTCTGTCTTAGCCTCACCCATGCTGTAATTACAGGCATGTGCCACCATGTCTGGCTTCAGTGGCAGGCATGGCATTCTGGCACAGCATGCGCTAGCAGGGATTGAATCTGGGTCCTTGCACTGCACGGGCCAGGAGGCGCTGAGACCACTGAGCTATCTCCCCAGCCCAAACACTTTTATAAGTTTAAATTTCTTAGTATGATCTGTTACTTTCTATCTCATATATTTTTTCTAAGGAGGAACTATATTTAACTCAATAACTTAATGAAAGCAAATAGCATTAGTAAGAAAAAAACTAAAATTTTAATTTGTTCCAAAAAACTAATTCTTCCCTTGCCTTCATCAGTTGATGAAGAAAAACATAACATGCAATATCTTATGTAGACTTTAGAATATAAAAACATTATTGTAATGTTTACTATTCTTGTGGCTGGCCAAACAGCTCAGCAGATTAAAGTGCCTGCTTAGGCAGATGCAGGAGCCAGGAGTTCCAGCCCCTAGCCTACTGTGCCAGCCCCGCCCCTAGGGCAAGCTGAGAGGGCAATTGAGACTGGGTGTGGTGGCACGTGCCTGTAATCCCAGCGCGTGGGAGGCTGTACACAGGAGGATCACTATGAGTCCGATGTAGTAGCGAGGCCCTGTAGACCTTGTAGACCTTGTACTAAATACAAAAAAAAAAAAAAAAGTAATATTTACTAGTCTTCCAATTTTTTGGTCATTATAAATTGAACCAGACATTATTCTGTAGTAACACTTGCTATATTGGTCATTATTTAAGTCTTACACTCTTACATCCTCCTTCAGGTTTAAAATGTAGTCCTAGTCTATAATTCTTCTTCAATAGAACTTAGCCAAACTATGTCTATTATTGCTGAACTGATACTTACAGAACAAAAAATACAAAATAAATGATTTATCAACATAAAGTTGCACATTTTTATAATTTCAATAAACTTTAAAATGTTTGGTAATTAAATAAAATTTAGAAACTGAGTGCCATACATGTGATTTTGAATATCTAAAATGAGTGCATAAGATAACTTTAATTCCAAAATTAGATTCAGAAGTGTTGTCATGAAAATGCCTTTGTATAGCAGTGGTATGGCGGTCCACAATAGCAGTGTATTATCCACAGAGGTTGTTGACTTGAGCCTTTCACAGCTCGGCATATTGATACGGCTTTACCTTATATACCTCATTTTTATACTTTTCAGCTGGATGGTTAAGACCAAGATAAAGCAAGACCTGCATCACAAGAAATGTAACTTTTTTATATCTGATAACATCAGTCAAGTTCCTTCAGGATTTATCCTGTAACCCTGTACCACAGTTTGCAGATCCTCTGTCAGTGTCAGCCATGTGGATGAATCATGGCTATTGCTTGACCAACTTGCTCTCTGGGAAAGCCTGAGAGAATGTTTTCTCTCCATGTGACTCTCCCCAGGCACACTCTAGATTACTGATCACATTGCTCTGTGGCCCCATAATCTCCATGGTCAGAAAATTTGGGACATAACTGAGTTACATGATATTACAGTATAGGTTCTTCTATATCTTGAGTCTTCACTGACTTTGAAAGGCTATGGTCCAAAATGTTGACTGTCCTTGAAGCCCTTCTTTTCTCTAAATTTTAGTCTGCAAATTTAGGTTGTTAACCCTCCAGAAGAGAAGCTTATTATTACCCTACATCTTATGCAATTGGGTTTAACTTCACTATCTGTCTGAATATCAAACATCTTAGGCATAACATGTATTTTCCATCAAGTATTGATATGGTAAACATTAAGTCCCTACAGAATATGGAGATAAAAATTTTAAAAATGAAAAATATTTAAATGATATGGATAAACAATTACATATTTTTACACAGAAATTTAGTAAAAGGTGAAAGATTTATATGATCTGAAGAGAAACAAGAGTATATATACACAGAAATTTAGAAATCCAACCATATACAGAATTGTAGTAAAATTTTACTTGTGAGACAGTGTAGTAATAATTGGTATGTCATGACAAGATGTACATATTTAGAAGACCAGAATGACAGGTATTCCAATTGCACATTGCTATCTTCAGTGCAGTTGCTTGGTTCACAGGTATCAGCATGTACAGTTAGTCAGGGTGAGAATCCTACCAATTAACTGCTAGTTTCAAAAATCTACTAATGTTTCTCAGGATCATTGACTTGCCCATCTTGTGTGTATAAATATATGGCTTTGTCCATGTCCTGTTTCCCAGCTTTTCTCCTTGCCCTCTCCTCACTGTCCAAAGTCAATACTCAAAATCAATAGCATTCCTCTACACAGATAACAAACACACTGAGAAGGATATTAGAGAAACAATACCTTTTATAATAGCACCATAGAAAATGAAATACCTTGGAATTCACTTAACTAAAGAAGTCAAAGGTCTTTTCATGGAAAATTACAGTGCTCTGAAAATAGAGATCACAGAGGATTTCAGAAAATGGAAAGATATTCCATGCTCCCGGATAGGAGGAACCAACATCATGAAGATGGCCATATTCCCAAAATTGTTGTACAGATTTAATGCAATCTTTATCGAACTACCACCAAAATACCTCCCAGACCTAGAGAAATCATTCCTAAAATTTATTTGGAACCAGAAAAGACCTAGAATACCAAAGGCAATCCTGGCCAAGAAAGACAAAGCAGGAGGCATTACAATTCCTTACTTGAAATTATACTACAAAGCTACTGTGATAATATCAGCATGGTATTGGCAATGAAATAGACCTGAGGATCAATGGAATAAATTAGAAGATGCAGAGGCTGCTATGAACACACTCAGTCACCTGATCTTCAACAAAGGAGCCAAACATACTTACTGGAAGAAAGATAGCCTCTTTAACAAATGATGCTGGAAAAACTGGCTCTCTATGCGCTGAAAACTAAAACTTGACACAGGTCTATTACCATGAACTAAGCTAAAGTCAAAATGGATTAAAGATCTAAACATTAAAACAGAAACACTAAATCTCCTGGAAGAGAAAGTAGGAGGAGCTCATAATATTTTAATAAATGCTGATTACCTGAAGATCTGGGGAGAATGTAAAAGATAAACAACAATAATTTTATTTTAAATATTTTTACATAGGCAATACAAACCTAGACTACTAACAAATTAAGCAAAAATGTATACTGTAAGGTTGACAGTGTCTTTAAAATGATGGAAATTTAATGCACATAAAAAAATAAAATAAAGTTTCAAAAGTTTTGAGTTATTGGTATAATAACTCAAAAGAAAGGATAGGAAAGTGCTGTATTTAGATGACTTTACAACAGAAGACAAGAGGAATCAAAAGTAGGAGGTAGGGACTGATAAGGGGGAATAAAAAAGGATGGAAATGATTAAGGTATGCTATGTACATTTAGAAATCTTCCAACATTAAGAGTTGTTCTGTATAACTAATATACACTAATTAAAAAGGCATATTCTATAATATGTTCTTTATTTTCTTCAATAGTTTTAAGCAAACTTACAATATCTGACAATCTCAAGTTTATATTTTTTCCAAGGGAAAAATAAAGACAAAGAACACAAGTGCATTAGAGACTTAGCTTTGCAAAGGACTCTGGAAGGGTTACCATGGATTTAGCCACCAATGGGATTAAAGTATAAACTCACTACAGATGAAAAATTTGGCTAATACACTGAAGAGCAGGATAAACATAAGAAAAGGGTAAATCTAATCCAAGTAATCCCTTGTGTTTATGGTCTTATGAGAAAAGGAATCAGGTAATTTCAAGAGAATAATGGAGGCAGCAGTTCTTGATTATAATTGCCTTCTGTGAAGATACATCACCAGGCAAGTAGACAGCCCTTCAGAAGAGTTAAAATGACACTTTCAAACACTGAGGAGAATGAAAAAATTGAAGTCTAACTTGACTTTCTCACACTATGTAAAAATTATGAGTTTATATAGTCTTGATCCGTCCTTTTTTAGTCCAATGCCAATTCATTTGAGGTGTCCTATTTCAAGTAATTCAAATTTCTTTTCAGCAGAAAACCACACTACAATAGCTCAAGTCAGTGGAATCTGTCCATTTGCTGCATATGGCAATGGTAAGTAATTAGTATTTTTTTAAAAAAAGGTAACTAGGAAGACATATTTCAAAGAATGAGAACCAGAGAGAGACCATGTCAAATGCCCCTACTGTTTTTCACTATGGTTCCATGTGCTACGATTAACTGGATTTCTATGGAAGACCTTGTGCCAAGTCTTATGCTCCTGCATGTGCTGATGTGCTGGAAGAAAGTTGGTTTGTACCCTGAAATTTCACCAAAAAGTCTAAAAGAACTCCTGCTCCCATATGTAAGCCTATAGGTGCTTTGATGACACAGCCACTTTCCACAGATTATATTACATGTTGACAATATTTTACAATAGATATTTATTGTTCATAAAATCTAATTACGATTTCTTTTTTCTTAAAGACACCTCTTCATATGTTTTTAATACTCCTTAGCTCCTTTGGCAGTTCACTCAGCACTGTACAAAGAGCTCCACTCACTGAGTGATAGGACAAGCTGAAAGATAATCCCATATTTCCTACCAGAAACTGAGCCAAAGGTCTTATAATTTAAAGCCTAATTTAGAGGGCTGGCGAGATAGCTCAGCCGACTAAGTACCTGCTTTGGCAAGTGTAGGGACCAGGGTTCGATCCAAAGCACCACACATCAAGCTGGCTCCACCCCCAGGCACACTGAGCTGGCGACCCACCCCGAGGGTGGTGGTGCTCTTCTGTAATCCCAACGTTGGGGAGGCTGAAAACAGTTGTAGTGAGAGCCTGTCCCAAATACATTCAAAAAAAAAAAAAAAAAAGAAAGAAAAAAGAAAAGAAAAGAAAAAAGCCTAATAGAAGCAAATCCATAAAATCAGTCTTGCTGACTCTATTACTTACCTGGTTCATACTTGCAGATATAATTGTGCTTCATGTTGCATCTGTCGTCATTCCACTGGTAAAGGTAGGGACCGCCGAGACCGGGATTGGCAGTTGGTTGATGATACATCACAACACACTTTTCGCTTCCACAGGAAGGCTCATCAGTGTACCAGTTCCTGCGAGCAAAGAGCAATGGGAGCCCTTATAATTGTCTTCTGACTGCCTCGGCAGGGCCCATCTGGCGCCCTCTGCAGGTCATAGAACCTTCCCTTACCCCTGAGGTCCACGGGATCCATACTCACCGGTACTGGGAGCTACTTCCGTCAGACCACTGGTAGAGATCGGGGCAGGCGCCAGAGGCCTGACCATCTCCATTTCTCCACAGCCCTATCCAGAAGTCACCATCAGAAATCCCTGTTCCAGGCTTTGTCAGGTTTTTCAACATGCTCTCTATTAACTTCTGCTCTGCTTCATTCTCAAGACTGAGGAGGACGCCTCCCTCAATCTCACAAGCCAGGCGAGCCTCCTGAAAGCTCACTCGGCTGGACAGCTCGTGGAAGTAGGCCATCTTGTAGCAGGGGTGCTTTGCATCAGCAAAACACACCTTTTGTCCTGAAAAGAAAAAAAAATGGCATATATTGATTACCTGAACTATAATCATGATCCAATAATAATAATAATTAAATAATTAAAATTAAATAACAAGTTAAAAATAAAACACACTACTGACAATACTTTTCTGATTGGATCACTTTGTACATTTTATTTTCAAGCTCATGACTTCTACCTTGGGACAGTTAGCTGGCCTTTTTGTAAATTTCATAGAATTTTAAACATAGTACTTCAAGGAAATGATTGTTAAGGGAGCAAAAATACCTCTGGCTTAGATTTTTTTATAACTCCATTATAACAACAAGTGAAAGTAGCTGAAGGAGTTGCTGGTACATATAGAAAAATAAGCCAAAACTTCAAAGTTATGCCAGCCACTGAAATCAGGTATAATGGTGCACTCTTGTAAGCCCAGTGCTGGGGAACCTGAGACAGGAAGAACATGCAAGTCCGAGCTGTGTAGCGAGACCCTGTACCAATAAGCAACATTTGAAAAAATATATATTAGCTCAAAGGTGATAAACAACAAATATTTAGCAGACTCTAGAGCAAATTACTTGTCAGTTGCAGAGGATCAGGTTATATGCTAAGCAATCAGTAACAATGTATTTTTTAGTTCTACCTGAAGAGTTCACTATAGGACTAAAGTTACTTCTTTTTTAAATTTGAAATTATTAACATTATGTTTTAAAAATTCCCTAATTCAGAATTTCGTGAATTAATTATTAATTGGAACCCAAATTAATTTAATATTATCTTTTGATGGTTTTTTACTATATTTTTTAGAAATAAGGACTAGAAATAATTAAGGATCCATAATCTATGAAAACAAATATATAAAATTTTCAAATTTTGAAAGAAAGATCAAATGTAATTTCTATTTTATACTTGCATAATTTATGTAAGTTATAACACTCAATTTACCCATCCATCCTTGTATCTATTTTCTTGAGACAGTATTACATTCTTCTTCTTTTTTTTTTTTTTGTATTTAGGACAAGGTCTACAGGGTCTGTATGTTCTCACTGCATAGATCGAACTCATAGTGATCCTCCTGTTTACAGCCTCCCAAGTGCTGGGATTACACACTAGCGCCACCATGCCCAGTCTAAAAAAATTTTTTTTTTTTTTTTTTTTTTTTGTAGAACAAGGGATTGAACTCAGGCCCTTGCCCTTGCCATGCAAGCACTTATTCTAGTGAACTAGCTCCCCATTCTGGTATTACATACTTTCAATAAATTTCTTTTTATCAGCCAAAATGGCAGTATGAGCTTAAGTTTACTCTTGTGGTCACGTTTTTCTCAAACTTTATGACAAATTTACTTTTATTCGAACAATATCTCTGACCCTATCCCTGAGGTGCCCTCAGATGGTGATTGAGACTGGGTGTTGTGGCGCATGCCTGTAATTCCAGTGCTTGGGATACTGAAAACAGGAAGATCGCTGTAAGTCCAAACTGTAGAGTTAGACCCTGTAGACGCTGTAGTAAATGCATAAAAAAGACACACACAAAAAGAGTTTGGTTTTAAAACAAATCTCTCAAAATTAAATTTCATAAGGCAAGGCATTGTTGTACATCCCTGTAATCTCAACACTCAGGAGATTGAGGCAGGAGGAGTTCTGCAAGTTAAAGACCAGCGTGGGCTACAAAGTGAGTTCAACTACTTTTTAAACTGCATAGAGAAATCCTCTCTTAAAAAAACAAAACAAAACAAAAAAGCCTGAATTTCACATATCACTATATAGTATACAGAATGAGTTTTCATAAATACTTAATGACAATTACAGATGTGTATGATAGTATTGGTCATACTAAAACCATATCATACAGGAAATATTACAGTGGGTGGAATTTATCTAAGTCTACCAGTAATGAAATTATAATTATTCTACTGCTTTTATCTATCTACATGTTTTCTACCACCAAGCATGTAAGATACTATTACAAAGGAAATATCCAGAATGGTCATGCTGTCTTGCTTTACTTATGTTCCTTTGCCCATCTTGGACACTCTGTTGTTACTTTAAAACAGCCACAGAACTGTCTGTGTTAATATTTGTTAACCCTGAACACTTATCCACAGCCTCCACCACTTTCTTAGTTTGACGCTGATCCTGACTTAAATTTGGATTTGGCAAACAAACTGCAAAGCATTTTATATAAAATTAAGTCAACATTCTTTATGTTCAGAAAAAAAGATACAGTTTTATTGATTTCTTACTAGTTATCTGAGGTTTTAGGGCCTTTTCTCCTTCCTACCTAACTGGTAGACAATCAAGAAAAGTAAATCATACAGGGTTGGAAGGTGTTTTATACTAGTTAAAAAATAAAGCATTCAAGCTCTGTACTCAGTGTATATCACACTGAGCTAGCACATGAGCACATCCATCTTGCTGTCCCAGAATCAGCAATTAGTGACCTATGAAGACACTCCAGGCAAGAAGGAGCAGAAATCAGCAGAAGGCCATTAACTTCACAACAGTGCTTGAGTGATAGCCATTCAAGATCTTGACACAAGCTGGGAACACAGAATAGCAATGTGAGCTCTCCAACCAGTTGTCGTCTGTCTCATTAGCTGTCCCCTGAACCCATATGCAGCTCACTGAATAATAAAAGCAAATAAATAGACTGGCCACACTAATGGTTAACAAAAAAAAAAAAATAACATGTTCATGTGACCATAACAAATGAGTTAAGGACACTTCAGGAGTCCAAGTTAGACTAAAAATATACTCTAAGACAAGATGGTAGAAGTCCTAATCACTGACTCAAATAAAGTAATATTTTAAATTTTTCATATATTATTAGATTTTATGATGGTTGCCCTATTTAAGATGGTTGTTCCTACCAATATTCTTTTTTTTTTTTCTTTTTGTGGAGCTGGGGATTGAACTTAGGCCCTTGCACTTGCCAGGCAAGCACTTATTCAACTGGGCTATCACCCTGGCCCCTTAGCAATATTCTAATAGTAATACTGAGGCCATATGTTCATTCATACTTTTAGGAAGCAAGATTCATTTCCATGTTCATCTACAGTAGCCATTACATAGTTGTAAATCTCCAATATGTCCTAAACATACTTTCTTGAGTTTTCAACTTAGAGCACTTTTTATTCAAAGGACATTTAGCTTTGGATTTGACTGTAGTAATTCTGAAATGCTAAGCTTTTCAACAACAATTTTGTGTACGATTTCGAAATATGTCAAGAGTAGCCAGATGTTTTAATGATAAAAATATAATTATTTTTTAGAAGCCAGAGTTATGGAGAAGGTGCTTAAGTATTACTTAATCTACTAAAAGACACTACTCATCTTTGGTATATCAAAAAGGCAGTACAACACTTATTAATCCATGGTGAAGATACAAAAATGATGATGAAAATTAACTCCTTTACAAAATTAAGATAACATTTCTAATCTAACGTTGTCTCATGTGGAAATTTCTAACACCATTATGTTAGTTTGTATAGAAATAATAAAAAGAATATATATATAGATAGATAGATAGATTATATTGAAAATAATTAACAACTAATACTGTGTGGGTCTTTGACTATTTGAATAATAGAGTATTTCCCAGTTCCTGGGTGAGAAATGGAGACCTATGGATACATGGAAAGAGACTCTCCAGGGAACACAATAGTCTTTTGTCAAGTAGAACAGATACTCCAAAGAAGATTATTAGCTGTGTCTTCATATTTGAACTGAAAATTCACTAGCAGTCCAGGTCTAGCAAGGCAGGATCCAGTTTTTATGGCTTATATGTAATAAGTGAAAGCTGCTGCTATGAACTTCTTTAGACACAGTTCTATTTCACTACTGATTTTCACTTTGTGCATCAAAATCAACAGCAGTAGAAGCTGTTGGACCTCTCGCTGCATTTCAGCTGATTCCACTTGGCGGCTTCTGTGGCGGAGCTTCGACAGCTGGGAAACAAATGTTGCCCTAATTCCCAGAAAAGTTCTGTTAATGTAGATCTCCTGGAAGTAACTTTCCATTTCTGTGAAGGGTAATCATACCAGAGAACAATTATGATCGCTTCCTTTCTTATTTTGTGAGATCTCATGAAGCATTTCTCAGTCTTTTACTTTTAAACATTATATTGAAATAAAAACCTCCATGGACATGTAACGGACAGGTGGGTATGCATTTGGAGATCCATATAGTGGTTGTATGACACTGAAGAATCATTTATACTAACTGTAGATAGCTGCCACTCTGCATCTATACTTGAAAATATCATTTGATGATTAGATTAGCTACAAGAGAGAGTAAAGACATGCCACTCAGGATTTTAAAAACATATTGAGAAAAATGAAGCCTGAAACAACATATTTGCACAGTTTTTGTTGAAGCACTCTAGAGCTACATAAATTATAAATCCAGAAAGCATGAAAACACTTCAGTTTTCTTCACTGAACTTTACAGAGTGATGAAAAGGAATATTCACCTATTAGTTTCGTACACATATGTGTACACATATATGCAGCTGCATATATATATATATATATATACATGTTCTTCATTTTTAAAATTTATTTTTATTATAATTTCGTATACACATTGTTGAAAGATAACTATTGATAATAACTACTAAAACAAACATTCCCATCACTGTCACAGTGAAAATTCCACTACTGACTCCATAAATAGATGTCCTCTTCTTTACTAATAAGAAAATTCTTGTACAGTTCAATATTGGCAGAGCTTTAGGTAGGCTGGGCAATGAGACTAAAGCAGGGCCAAATTCATGAAGTCATGAGAACTGGCTTCACTTCTTGCATAAAGAGGTCCTATAATTTGGTTTTGTTCTGCTTACATCCTTTATTTTCTTACAGTTTAAAATTGAACAATTAATTATGAAGGTGATAAAATTGTCCTTATACCTCACACTAGTCAAGTACCATGAGTATCACAAGAGTATTGAATTTAGAACATACTGTTCAATAAAAACATGAGTACATACTACAAATTTCTGCTATGCAATTATTATCTTTTTAGTT